ACCCATGACCAGTCCAGTTATTAACTCATGTAAAAAAGTACTTCCCCTAAACAAGAAAAAGCAACAGTTTTCATTGTCAATTTTAGTGTTAGTTGAATCAATGTGCTTCGGTTTCACTTTATTTTCACTTTACATAATTTTAAATATATTTGGCCACTAGTGTGTTGTGACATCAGAGATGCAGCTTTTCGTCCTATTCTTACCATGTGCAGAACAAGAGCGACTGAAGTCATTGTCACAGACTTAATGCTTCAACTAGTTGCAGAACTAACTGACTAGTCTGTGCCACTCTTAATGTGAAGCAAGTTGTCATACATAACAATTGACTATATGCACGGTTACTTCCTGGTTTTAGATAAGCTAGCTCAGTCATTTCTGCTCAAATGTCAAAAACAGCTGTGCTATAAGGGGAGCACATAAACGTTCTCTACATAATCCATTCACAATTTGAAGAAAACGTTTTATTTTTCTAAGAGGACCTAACGTCCATGTATTCAGTTTCAGGAATGACAAATGCGAGTGCAAAAAATGAAGCGAGTAAATTGTGCCGCGAGTCATTGCTATGATTGACAGTGATAAAGCAACGGACGGAACAAAACATCTGATGAGGCGATGTCAAAAACAGAGCTGTGCATTAAGTGATTCAGACTAAATTCTAATGTAGTAACAAAACTACAGCAGCAAGTCTGTTGGCTGAATGTATTTATCAGCTTTTAGCTATCAGTTTAAGATAAAACTTAAAAATGTGGGTTTTATATTAAATCTAAAAATATTTAAAAATATTGAATACATTATTATTTAATTGTTACACCATTAATAATTATTTAATTTGTAGTTAACTAGTTAAGTATTTAAAGGGGTCCTATTACGCTCTTTTACAAAGTCTTGATTTTGTTTTGGGGGTGTACTAGAACAGACTCTCATACTAGGTTGTTCGAAAAACACATTATTTTTCACATATTTGACATTATTACGACACCTCTCTCCCCAGTCTGGCATGAACGGCTCGAATAGTTCCTGTATCAAATGAAGGCCCGCCTTCTGAAATACGAAATGTGCTGTGATTGGTTAGCTGGGCCAGTGTGTGTTGTGATTGGCAGCACTCGACGCCTGGTTGGAAAATGTCATGCCCCTTACCATCGCCGCCTGTGAGCTTCAGTGTAAATATGGCGTCAAAATCAAATCAATTTGAGCGCGATTTAAACCCAGATGACTGTAACCACTCTAAGTTCGTCTGCCTTGGGAAAGCTAGCGTGTCTCCGACATAGTGATAACACTAGTTGCCTTCTCTAGTGCAGCTCAACCTGGTCTCCTCCCACTCGTCTGTATTTGTGATATCACAAATCCCGGAAAATATGCGTTGTAGTCCAAACGAGTCGTTCGTTGTAGTTTTTGAAAAATGATTTCTGTTAAATAAAAGAATTGGACTTTGAGCTTTGTAACTTCGCAGATCTTTTTTTTATACTCAAACAGCAACATTACAGACTAACTAAAGTTGAAAAAGTAAATAATTTCCCTTCTAGGCTGTTGGTGTCTGGGCTTAATTATTTTTATTATTTTTTTAATGACATGAGACTTCGTGACTTCCTGCACTTGCTATACTTTATACTTCAGTACAGTAAAAATCCTAAAATTTGTTATAATAGTCATGTTATAATAAATTCAAAAGCAAGACGTCGAAAAAAAAAAAACTAGGGAGTTGAAGTGGCAACTGCTGTGATCCTCTTCTGCCATCTACTGGTTATAATGCTAATTTCATGTCAATTTCATCTGAAGAAGTCTTTGTTTTCCACCAGGAGACATTTTTGGCACATTTATCATGTCATCTTTATGAATGAAAAGTGAATCTTTAAAGTGAATTTCACTGCACAGCTGTAGCATTGAGAAATAATAAAGGCTTTAAAATATTAAGTGTTTTAAAAACTGAAGGTATTGATTATTAAGAATACCATTACGAAGTCGTTTACGAGATAGCATCTCTAGCTAGCTAACGTTAGCCTAAAGTTACGATAGTGTTTAGTTGTAAGCATAAAATATTGTTAAATAACATGAAACTGTATGTTAATGCCGCTATCATTATTTACGGTTTTGCAATTATTTAGTTTCTCAGTTTCTGACAAGAACGAGGCAGGAGAGGTTTCTGTGAGGGTCTCAAGAGTCTCTACCACAACATCAAATGACGCTTCACCGGAAGTTTACAAGCTGGCTTATCTTTACGTGGAAGTTCTAAAGAAAGCTCTGAGCAAATGGTCAATTCTTCAAAATTAGCATTCAACCCTTATGCAAGTAAGCAGCAAGAAATTGTTCACCCAAAAATGAAAATTCTGTCATCATTTATTCACTCTCATGTTGATCCAACTTTCGTTCATTTTCTAAACACAAAATAAAATATTCTTAATGAAACCTGAGAGATTTCTGTCCCTCCACTGAAAGTTCACATAATCAAAATGTTGACACTTCAAAAAGTTCATAAAGAAGACATCATAAAATTAATTCATATGAATTAGGGCAGTTCCAAGCAATCCAAGTCTTCTATAGACACTTGACAGATTTAGGTTTTTATTCACATACCAACATTAATCAACACACATAGGCTACATAAAGCAAATCAAACTTAGTAAACAGAAGCTCAACATTTTTTGCTTGATGCATGTTTGCAATGTTTTTATGAACGTCTCGAAACATCTACGTTTTGTTGGAATGAACTGAATAGAAGGACAGAAATCTCATATGGGATTGGAACAACATGAGGATGAGTGAATGATGACAGAATTTAAATTTTTGGGTGAACTAACCTTTTTCAAACATGATTTCTTCATTAGAAAAAGCATGTCTAGTAGAGCTTGATGTGAGAACATTTTAAATGAAGAGACAGTAAGATTCACCATTTATAAAGTTACCACAGGGAATCATGTTGAAATGATTCAAAGGCAAACTCAAAAAAAAAAAAAAAAAAAAACACCAAAAATGAACTATTGATTACAAACCAGCTCTGTTTTGAGCAACTATGTAAACAGTTTAAAGCCTCAAAGCATTCTGACAATGCATGAGGCTGAGAATTTGGCAAGCGTGGTCAACAAGCTCCTACTTGTTGGACTATTCAAACTATCTTTATTTTAAATCTTACATCTCTCAGTGACCATTATAAGAACGGTTATTCAAGTTCTCTACACTCCACAAAGACAACTCACTCTGAGAGGTTGTTTTAAAGCACGGAAAGGTCCATTTAAATGCATGTTGGATGCATTTACTGGAACTATTTTAAAACGATGCAACATCTGAATCAAGCAAGTTCATGTAGCCCTGATTTATTCTCCAGTGCAGAGACGGTTCATTCCCTCAGGCCTGCAGAGACCCTCTGAAGGGCTGAGAATATGACAGAATGTCTTAAGCTTTAATCTCTGCAGGTACTGTGTGCACAAATCAGCGTACAGTGCTGGAAGAGCACCACCACCCTTATATGCAGCACGGACTGACCTCAAAGCTCCAACCGATAAAGCAAAGCAAATGTCTGCCATGACTGTCAGTCTGGTTTGAATCTACATGTCACAACCGCACCCTTTTTAAAGTAAAAGGGGGACGAGGGTTTGGGGGGGAGGTGCAATCAAAAGAACAAAGACCTCCTATTGCTCAACGAACTGTTGAGATTAAGAGCTAAACATAAATGTCATTCTCTCACTGTGTGTATGACAAGCCTTTTCACTTCCTCATGTGAAGCGATAAACCAACCAAAGCTGAAAACTTCTTGCACAAATGGCCATTTTAGGCAACATTTATTTGGCTGTGAAGTAATCTGGATTCCAGAAAGGGGTTTGCTCAGTCTGTGGTCAATGAGAGAACTAGTTAGAATGAAAACAGTCTTTTTCGCATATTTTGCATCTCTGGAACAACATTTAAAAGTCAAGCAGATAAAATCTGTGGCGGTGGCTTGTCATTTCACCCTCGTTTTATATCTGTAGATCAGTGAAACTTGAAAATTCATGAATATATATATATATATATATATATATATATATAAAAAAAACTTTTAAAATAATGGTAATAAAGTGACATTTGGAAAGAATTTTGGAAGCAAACCGGAAAAAGGTGTGTTTCAAACCAGTTAACTAGAGATCATGTAACCCCAGAAGGTTCATTCACTGTAAATAGGGGTGTATATTTAAAACACAAACAAATTAGACTCCGATGGGACAGATATAGTAAATGACTCAAAATCACATAAAGAAACATTATACTAAATGTAAAGTGTGATGATGTAATATGTGAAAATTTCTTTGCATCACAAGAATGAGTGTTGCAAAGTAAGCTGTGAAATGGTTGGTAAAGAAAGAAAAAAAAAACATACCATTTGAGCACAGTAGATAAAAGAGACCTGATTATTCAGCTGTCAAAGGCTGACAGTAGCACTTAAACATGTCTATGGGCATCTTTACAGAGCAGAATTAAGTCAACTTTTGTGCAGTGTAAAAGCCATATTACCTTTTCTGACATCCCTCATGCCCAATAAATGAATTTCAGCATTAGAGCCACCTTAATTTTCCTTTTCACATATTTTACAATTAAGGATTTATATTATTTAATTTGCTTTTTATAAAAATTATGTGCAATGTCTGAAATCTGATATGCAGAACAGATTTTTTTTATACTTTGACAAAATATTTTAGTTAATTTCTGGACCAGCTAACAAAATATTAATTTTGAATAGTCTCAAATTAATATTAATAATTGATCGAAAACACCACAGGTCAAGCATTAACCAGTTTAAGCATAGGTTTTTAGATAAAAGTCAAATAAAAACATCAAAATATAACGTTCATTTATCACCTCAGTACCTTGCCACCATGCCAGTGCACATGACATGTGATGCCCAAATATGCTGTCTAGGTAGGCAGCTCACTAGATTTTGACACACGGCCAAGTGGACTGTCTTTCTCAGAAGTCCATCAGAATGCATTACCCGTCCTATCTCGAGCGCACTGCCTCTAAAGTGACCCCCCCACCCCCAGAACATCTCGGTACTCTCGGCGTTACTGAACCCAGAATCCGACGGTAGAACCAGGATGGGCGGGACGTTGAGCAGCCCGAGTCTGGGGACAGGGAGGCTGGAAAAGGTCCCATCGCTACTCGCCGCAGCGGACAGTTCGCTCACAGTCGCGCCGATGTCAGACCACTGAAACTCGGCATCACTTGGGCCCGCTGCGCTCACATTGTTCCGCACAGGCCGACCGTCCAATGATATATTAGTGAGAAACAAAAGCGCAGCTTTTCTCCTCCGCGAA